TGCGAGTGTTTATTACCCCTTAATGTGTTAAATAGTGACAAAATGTACACTACAGTGTATGCCAATTTCTTTGTCTGTTTTGATGTTACTAAGAGCTCTTTTTTCTTCAACTACTAGTGCACATTGTATCACAATTAAAGTTAAATTACACCAATAGTGGCAAAATAGACTGAAAAAACTGGTGATAACCAAAATGCGTTTTAAAATGTTTGGTTGGTACCTATCTACCTACGCAGTGCATATCCGGAGATACTGCGTTGTGGAAGTGTGGCATTTTTGTTCAGTTAGATTTTAATTACGGTGAATCCATAAGGGGACATTCTTATTTTTTGGTAAGTATTATACTTCCTTTTTCTTTAAGCCTTAATACTCAATAAATACCAATATGTTAAAAGGATGTCCATACCCGACCTATATTATATATCAATAATTTACGGCAGTAGGTCGGGTATTTGTAACATAAATAATATAAATACATACACACTTGATTTACTTTTTATTTTCAAGCGTAATTGTTGTTATATTAACCTATACCTACATTTTTATTAATATTATGGAAAATTTGTACACGTGTGGTAAATCCCCGACATACAGCCGCCTGACGCCTCTCTACCAATGGGATCACCCATTTTTTATAACAGAAAAATGGATTACTGATGAATTCTCAAGATAATTTATTACAAGTTGACAGCCAGTAAAACATTGCATTGATCTAAAACTTTTACGTTTTAAGGAATTTTGCTTAAGCCAGCCACGAAATATAAAATTATATTTTAAAAGGCACCGATTTTGATAATTGTCATAGATTTTTGTTCCAAATAAATGATTCTCTTTATTTACCTTTTCGTTTTATTCACTACCACCAATAGGTTTTACTCAAATAATAGTGTTAATTTACACTAGAAGTTTGCACTAAAAGAGTAAAAGTACCTTTCTAAAATTAGAACTTTTCCAAAGTAGTGTTAATTTACACTGAACAAAAGTGAGATTTTACCCAGAAGTACACGATTTTAGGTAAATTAACACTTTTTTATACAGTGTAAAATTACTTTATCCTCAGTGCTATAGTGTTAAATTATACTAGCTTACTTGGGTAAAATTACACTACAAATTAACTCTAATTGTAGTGATATAAAACAACACTATTTAGTGTGGTCCTGTGTGAACTCTAATTAGTGTTGCTTAAAGTTGATTTTTTTTTACTGTGTTGGCTGAGTAAGTCACTTTCTTAATTTAAAACGTAAGAATTCTTAGTATATGATAATAAAAATGTTCCTATTACATTAAGAATAAGTTCTCATTTTGTCAGTGTCTTTGCTTTCTTTATGAAAATTAAAAGTAATCAAAAAATTAATTTAAACAGTTGTTTGAATTGTAAAACATAGCAATTAAAATGTAGCTTAAATTTATTATGAATTTAACTTCTTCAAACAATGTAAAATTTTTAGTCACGTTCTTATAATTATAATTGCCTGCTTTTATAACTTTTTTATTTGCGACAAAAATGCTTTACTCGCAATAAAGTAAAATACACTCTTCTAAATTTACTTACTAAATGTACTTTTTTATTGTGTTATCAAGATGTCTTGCCCGAGTCAGAACCAACATTTTTTAACAATTTCTTTACTTTAATTAACATTAATACTGTAAAAACAAGAGTTTTATAAATAGTTACCTTAAAGTCGAATCATTATATGGCGCTGTATATAATTATAAATATCTCAGTCGGTAATAATATAGAACTACTTTATTTTGGTGGCACGTTACTTTGGTGAGTAAGATTTTTGTTTTTTTGTTAAGAGCAGTGTTTAAATTACAATAAAAAATATTTCTAAAAAGTGTACAGATCAGTGTGTGGTATCAATGTGTTCCTCATGGTTTAAACATTGTCACTTTAATGCGTTTTAATTTTAATTCTGAAAACAATGTCCAATTACTGGTTGGTAAAATATGTAAATTTCTATTATTGGACATATGTCCAATAACTATATTCCTTAAATCATCATTTTTATTGTAATAATACTTAGATAAAGAATAGTGTTACTATACTTTATGCATGTTTTTATAAAACTATTATTAAAAATTCAAATGGTACTATTTTTAAGTAAACGTAAATAAAGTTTAAACAAACAAACTATCCTTTTTATATATTTATAAAAAAAACTAAAACCCTTAAAACAACGGCATATATAAATTTTAAGTACCTATCCAATACCTATAAATAAAATAAATAGCAGTCAATTTTTACCACTTTTGCGTCACGAGATTTATGGACAGCCCCTGTAACGCTTTCGTGTAAGATTTCGGTAAATAAATCAAATTTTTTATACGAACTATCTTTATTTTTGTTGTAATATGTACAGTATGATAATTACAAGATTAGATTTTTATAGTTTAAGACAATTTTATAAAAATATCAATGAATTGAACACTTAATAAAAAGTTGGGTCATATTGCCATGACTGATTTTTTTTTTCAATTAATGAGTATTATTTGAAAAGTAGTTTTGTCTTTATAAAAAAAAATTACAAAGACAAAACTGTAATAAACTTAAGACACAGTTATAATATTAATATCACAAGCATTTAGTGGAAATGCTCTTATTAAATGCCGGAACAGAACTAAAAAAACAAAACATTTTATATACCCGTGCATTTATGAGTCTGCATTTGCATTGAATGCCTGTAGAGGATTAAATTTAACAGAATAAAATTGTATTTAAATTTTAACAATATATCTACATAGTTTCAACATGTAATAGTTATTACAATGATTATCCTAAATTAGTCTATATTAGTAGTGCTCACTAATAAATATAAAACAAATTACACTATATACACAGTACTTATTTTTTTGGACGTTTTTCAAAAACATTGTTCGACACTCACAACCATTCAAAGTTTTTTTTTTAAGATTAGCACCAGAAAATTAAAAGAAGTCCATTTTTGATTACAGAAACCTCAATCCAATTTATTTACACTCATTTTTAATTCACTAGTATTTATAACACTATGATAGTTTTACAAACTTTTTTTCCTAATATTAAGAACTCCAGCTTAGTTTAACTGATTTTGGGCCGCTGATTTAAAAAATGTCATTAGTTTTTCTCTAGGACGTCTAGGATTTAAAAATAATTTCGTAATAAAATGCTCTGCTCAATCACCTTAAAATGTAAGTTTTTTGTTAGTATTTTAATTATTTATTAAAATATTTTGGCTTAAATTTATCTTGAATGTACTAAAGTAATTGGTATACGGCAAATAGATCATATTTATCTTAACAATATGACATTTTAAAAACTATTTTACTTTTTTGTCGTTTATTTTAATTATTAAATTGAAAAAGCAACAAAGTAAACAAGTTTCAGTATTTTTTATCCAAATAAAGCCCTCACAATGTAATGCATTGCATAATTTTGCTTTTTTCTACCTTAAATTTATTAAATCGTATCAAATATCAAATTGGATTAGAGTATTATTGTGCTTAATCCTTATCATCGTCGTACATCTTTTGCTGCAAATTCCAGCAAATGTCTCCTAGCAATGAAACCAACTTATTTTCGCTATACCCATAGCCAATGCTCTAGATTTGCAGTTACTTGGTGAAATCGTTCTCCATGTTCATCAGTTCGGCAAATTTATCAGGATGAAAAAAAAAAGAAAATGTATTTTAAATGACCTATTAACGCTAATTCTTTGCAAAACGGAAAGCATTTTTTTAATGAATTGGCGCCAATTTTAGGCCTGATATAAACCAAGAAGATTTTCAATGATCGCTTTAACACTGCCATATGCAACTTTGAGAGCATTTTTAAATGCTTGATCTTTCATTAAACGTCGTATATCAGGTCCATTTAATATTCCTGCAAAATTAAAGTAGTAGGTATATCTCATAAAATTTTGTAATGAAATATTGCGTTGGTTTTTCCTGGGCGTAAAGGTACCACAACAAAAACAAAACAAATTTACAACGACGACATAAATGTTCGTCTCCTTTCTCTTTCTCTGCCACTTCCATTACACTTTCATTCCCTGCTATTTTTTCATTTTTGGTTCTTAAAATCACTTTCAAGTAAAAATACAATTTAAAGTTTAAATTTTAAATGTCAATAATTAATAGATGCACTTTAGTGTGCGTGAACGATAAAGTAGATAAAGGCGCCTTTATACTTCAATTCGATATTCAATTTTGATAAAACTTAATAAATAAGATTCGAGATTAAATTTTTGGGTACTTTAGGCATGATGTGAATAAAAACATATCAAATAATAGTCGAAGAGTAATGCTTATACCGAAACCCATTTACTTTGTTGCATTTTCAATTTAATTAGTAATTAAAAAAACGACACAAAAATTTCAAAAAATGATACTTTTTACCAAAAAAATATTATAATTTTAGTTTTGGTATTTAATACTATTATACACGGTGGTCAAAAGTTAAGTATAGGAAGAAAAAAATGCCAACCAAAACTAATAGCATATTTTGATTATAGACCCTTTTGGTAACACTAACATGTATTTATCAAAATCCCAGCTGATCCTATTTTAAAGTTTTGCAAACTTTTTTGTTTTTTTATTTCTATATATTATTTTGTAATTATTGTACTAAAACTACCTGTACAATTTTAATAAAATTAAGCAAAATAATAAACTTAGTATCATTTAAATTACTTTACTCCCCAGTATTAATTTAGTCTCCTATTATTTTTTACCAATCAAAACAAAACATAACAAAAAAAAACGAAGATTTATATCTTAAATATTTTTTATAACAAAAAATACTGGAAGTTTGTCTATGAAATAATTACAACTTGCAAATTTTGTAAAACAATAATTAAGGTGGTTATGAAAAAAATTGCTATACTTTATAACGCAAGTGACATTTTGCTCTAGTTGTTTATTTAATGTATACTTTATAAAGTTAAAAATAGTATTTTAAAATGAAAATTAAACCGAAATTCAAGTTAAGCCATGAAGAAAATCGAAAGAAGGTATGTGCTGGCTGTGGAGACAAAATTGTTTTTGGTAATCGAAAAATTCAGAGTTTAGGGTTTCTGAGAAAATATAAAAATTACTGCAGACTTTTTCAAATGAACACTTTTATTTAAATGATTCAAAATGACCTACTTCAATATGGTAAAAACGGTATTTTTGCATAGCCACAATTGCCAAATTTTCAAAATTTAGAAATTGCTAGAGAATTTCGCGGCAGCCAAGAATGTATGTGCTTTATCTGCAAAATGGCAAGATATAAAGGGCATAAAAAATTATTAAGGGAAGAGGACAGACGAACGAACTAAAGTTTTGATATGCCCTTCCTTTCTAGGGGATATCGCTAGATGTAAGAAGCATGTTTGTACAGAGACTGAAGAATTTAAAAATACTGTTTCCAAGTTAAAAACAATTCCATGTAAAACCCAAGAAAAAGTTTTACTGAAAATTTAAGGCAAGCAGTAATCGATTTTGCTTCAAAGAATCTTTAGTTATTTATTAGTTTTGTATTAGGTACCTTAAAACAATAAATAATATATTGCAAACTTTATTTTACATTATTTTGTATTTATAATGTAATTTATCCATATTTCAGTCATGTATCTGCCAAATTTTTAAAAACATTTGATAATGGTAGTAGAGTATTTTATCGAAATGGCATAAACAATTTTAAAATACTAAGAAGTATGCAAAACTTTAATCAGCTTGGATTTTGATAAATACATTTTTGTGTTACCATAATCAGATTATGCCATCAGTTTTGGTTGTCATTTTTGTTCGTCCTATACTTTAGTTTTGACCAACGTGTTAAGGCAAAATAATTGAATAAATAATTAAAATATTAACGAAAAACTTACATTTTGAGATGATTGGGCAGAGCATTTTATTACGCAATTATTTCGAATCCTAGACGTCCTGGAGCAAAACGAGTGGCATTTTTGAAATCAGCAGCCCAAAATTAGGCAATATAGGTGGACGTACTCAATGTTAGTAAATCGAACTATCATAGTGTAATGAGCGAACTTACGCAGCGCGATTCAATCATCTTACCGTCAAAATGAGCAGGATCGTGAATGTCGCCGCCAGCGCCCTCTGGTGGTGGGCGCCCGCCCTGCTGGTCTGCATGGCCGCCGGATGCTCCCCTGAAACAAATTGATATCATAAATAAATTTCTGCCGCATGATAAAAGACCAGTAGGTTTGTATAACGCGACTACCTGCAGGTTGTGGGACACGTTTTCATGTTTTTGCAGGATTATTTATCGATTTCACATGACTTTTACTGGTTTATATCGAGGGCAGCAAATCAGAGAGGCCATGTGCCAAAATAAATTACACAAGAATATATTTCAATTTTTACAAAATAACATTTGTTATTATTATTTGTTTTTTTGATTAATTTCATCTGAAATAAATTTATATCATTGGCATAGAAACAGAAGCGAATTTGCTTTCGGCACGCGCCTAAAGAGCGGCACGCTTTGAGCACGCCACGCCTTTGTCTTTTGTCGGCTTTACACCGCGTTATTACAAATAAGACGCATTATTATAAAATAATATTTTTTCTTTTTTTTTCCGATTTTCTAGGGTCGCGCCCGTTAGGCTATTTATGACGTTATACAAGTTTTTATTGACATTTTGTTTAAGTTAAATACCTAATTTTTCATACTATTTTTTATATTAACGTATCTTGATATATATGAACAAACACTTTATTATCATAAAAAACGCAGTTTTAGTGTCGCACCCGTTACAATGGAAATACGCTTGAAAAAAAATATATTTGGCGTTAAATAAAAACCGCACACTGTACATAATTTGATGGAGTTAAACTTCCAGCTCGTTATAAGAGGTCGATTCGGTCTACTGCTACAAGATATCAGATTAAACTGGAAGGTCTAAAGTGGTTTAGTTGCTAAGCAATTTCCCTGAACTTTTGTCTCATCAAAAACCCACCCAGGGCATTCGATGCAAATATTATCTGTTCGTTTGCAATCTGCTGCCACGACGACCATTAGTTCGGTCACAAACCGTTAACGTAGCAGCATCATCATCAAAGCGAGTTAAGGCTAAGGAGGCAGAGTCGCAAACTTATCCTGTTTCACTCTCGATTAGGGACGCGAACGACCGTTGCGACCGGACTTCCGGTCCCGACAAACACCGATTACTTTGCTGCTGCTGACCAGTGTGTCCAGATTACACGCGACGAGTTTGCCCAATCCACTTCGTTCGTGACGTAGCGTAAATAAGTACAACAACTGGCTAAATAACTAGCATTCTAAGAAAATTAATCAAAATCTAAGTAAAATAACGTTTTTTTAAACTTGTTTTGTAACCAATTAGTTGTAATATTACTTATAAGGGTCATTCCATGACAAACGATACTGAATATACGGGTGTTACATTTGTTCAACCAAAGTCTCAATGGTTATGTATTTTGAAATAACATTTTAGCAATTTAAGTGCCTACGTTTTTAGTTGTTTTATCTTAATTGTAAAATTAGTACAGTTTAGCATACAGGATAACGATCTGTCCTGACCATTGTTACATTTATTTGAAATTCAGCGAAATTTCTTAGGGAAACATTCCTAAAAACTACAGGCCTCCAAAAGTATAATATTTACTAACCATCCACCACATAATCACTGTCACAAATAACGATTTACTATTTTTTTTTATATAATTTTACTTTGTTTCGGGTGTAACCATGGTTCTGTTTCGGGTGTTACAAGTACAAAAATTAAACACTTTATATAGACAAAATCAATGTTTTATTAGTCTCTAGGTACTACAAAATAAGTTAGTAAAAAATAAACATAAATAGAATGAATTCTCCTTAAACATAACTTAAGCAGCTTCGGGTGCGATTGATAAATCGGCAAAAGGGTAAAATCGTTATTATTGCCAAAAATCGGTAGAAACATAATTATTGACGAAAATCTAAGTATTCGGTATTTTGGTAGGTCCGTTGCCATTTAGGTAGAAATACCGAAACGTTTCGGGTGTTACAGTTTTTAATAAAAAAAACACATATTAAATTAGTTTCATGCTCAGATATTTATATATATATATATATATATATAATTTATTAAATTATTACTTTAGTTTAACAAAAAATCAGAAAGTTCAAGTGCTTATTAATAGTTTATTTTTAGGTTTAGGGTAGTAATGCAATAATATTTTTTTGTTCCAAATTAAATTGTCTTCCATAATATGTGAAAATATACAGGGTGTCCCATTAAAAAAATGTATATTATGTGAATATTTCGGAAACCCGACGTTCAATTGTTTTTCTGTTTTCACCATTTTATTCAGAAAAAAAATACCACCAATTTAATAGTTTAGCCGACTTTGTAGCTCCAATAATGACGAAGTTATCAATGAGCACATAACTTTGAACACCCCGTATATTTTATTAAAATTGTATATAAAAACATTTGCTGTGTAAAATTTGCAAAAATGGCGAATTCGCCGGGATTAATCAGAACGTTATTAACAAGACTTTTTTATTGCGTTTTTTTTGGAAAATTAATAAGCTTTAGCTGCCGTGTTTGTATGCCATTTTTTTAAGCATTTAATTAAAATATTTTCTTGAGATTCTCATACCTACATAATTTTTAGATTATGTTTAACTGACATAATTTATAGTCGACTTAAAAGTTTACAATATGAAAATTACTATACGCTTAAATTTTTTTTTTTTGGACATGGCCCAAGTGGCTTATTTTAGGAAAATTTATAAAAATAGGAAAATGGTGCTTTTAACATTATTTTAAAAGAATCAATGATAAGAAAATAGGTAGATTGTAATCATTTTAAAATTTCATACTCTCCTTATAGGGGGAACAAAATTTCCAATGGAACACCCTATTTTTTATTGCAGATTCGGATCATTCGACTAAAAATATATAGATTTTGTCTAAAACATTTTTTCATACTTGTAATGAAAAAAAATCAATTTTGTTCGATTTTTCTTCTTATACGATTCTGCAATAATTTTTCTATAGAAATATCACTTTTTTTGATAATAGTTATCGTATTAAATTTAATCTGATTTTTTTAATTACCCAGGATTTTTAGTATTGTACTATTTTATTAAAAATACCTCATTTAAGATGAAAAAAACATTATTTTTTCAATTAATTAATTAAATTCTAATTGAGGTATAAAAAAATGGTATTTATAAATAACTATAGTTATAATAATTATTATTGAGGTATAAAAAGACTATTTATACATAGTTTAGCATTATTTAATCAATTTAGTTCGAAGATTAATTTGCAAACAAAAAGACCTCCTTTCGTTAAGCAGTTATTCATAATGGATTTTAACAGTGGAAGGAAAAATAGAAATGATTTTGATTTATGGAGAAGCAGGCAGGAATCTTGATGATGCTGTTAATATCTACGCTCAGCGTTTTCCGGATAAAATTCGAATACGTACTTCATTTCACCGTACAGTCAAGCAGTTTACTATAAACGGGAGTGTTCAACCGATTTTCATTTTTCATTTCCATTGGAAATTTTAATGTAGAGTAGAGTATGAGGACCAATTTTAGTACTGATTAATTTCCCCCCTCGAATTATAATTTAATTAATATTTAAATAATTATTTAAGTTTTATTTTAAAATTTTTTTTGTAAAATGCATAATAACTGAAATATTTTAAAGTTTCAAGATGTCAGATTTTTATGTATACGAGGGGCTACTATAATGATCTTTATAATTGGGAGAAAGTGAGATTATAAAAAATGTTTTTAAAAATGAAAAATTATTAACTACATTATAGCATCCAAAACTTACTTTATATTTCGTGATTGAAAGTTTAAATTAATTTTTAATTTAACATTGTACGACTTTTGAAAGTTGACCTTCCGTTTAGTCTGGATTTAATTATCTTTTTTTTTTCAACAACAAACTTTATAAAAGCAATGGTTAATGAGTTTCATGAGTCCATTAAAGTTCTTAACTTTTTAGTTTTGCACATATTTTAGCTGAGTGTTTTTCATTTAAAATATTACATACGGGGTTAACAAATATTATCTATCTGTTGCACATTAAAAATGAAAAAGCCATTAATTTTGTTAAACATTCAAAACAGTACCTAACATAATATTGTTGGGTTACTTCATTTAAAATGTTTAAATTGACGAATGAGAAGTTTAATCGTTGTCCGGAAATTATTGCCGTAGAATGTTGGTCAGTACACTATACGGTCGTATTCTCCGAGATCCTAATGGTCAGTGAAATAAGGTAACTTTGTAGTCGAGTTTTATTACTTCGATGTGTACAGTTTTAACATTGTCGCACAATTTATTTAAAGAAATGTTACTTACATTTGTTGAATGCTTTAGGATATGGGTCGTTTTCAAAAAAATAAAATAATTTTTTTTAAATTTTGAAACTTGTGAAACACACATTTTCGCATGTCCCATTAGGGTTTTATAAAACTTACATACATGTTTTATTTTAATATTGAATATCCAGAACTTTGTGTTGCTTTATAGCAATCCATAACATCCTTAGTTAATACAGTAAACAATTTATATATAAAATAATTAATTTTAATCTACTTTTTTTAAATTTAACTCATGTCCCAGACATTTTTTCCGTTGTGTTACGTCCGTCGCGTTACCGATAGAATATTAAAAAAAACATATATATGGCAACTTTTTTGGCACTCACGTGATCAACAAATGATGTTCGGACGTACACATTACCCAGCTGAATTTATTTATTCAATTAGTAAGAAGATATCGGTTGAAACAGGTGCAAATAACGCGAATGTAATAATTGTTTGTCCGCTGAGTTACTCAAAAAATTAATAAAAATAAGGTAAGAAAAAATACTATTTTTCATTTTTATGTTTATTTTAGGGCACTAAAGCTCATTGAGAGTAATTAATGACTATAATGTCTTATTGCGTCAAACAAAAGTCCAGTCTGTCATAAAATTCGGTGCGAACATTAGCTAGCATATCTGGAGTAATTGTCTCAAACGCTGTATGCATTCTTGCCTCTAATTCGCCCAAATTATTCATTTTTTTATGACGGTACAAGGTAGATTTTACATATCCCTATAGGAAAAAATCATTAGGAGCCAAGTCTAGCAACCTTGCTGGCCGCCTTTGGGAAAAAATCTCTTGTAAATACTCCATCACTATTCTTGTGTTATGTGTCCTGTTGATACTAAACGTTATTCAAATTTGGGGTTATGTTTTGGATTGCAGGAATAATTCTATTTTGAAGAAGATCCAAATATCTCGCTCCATTTAAATTGCCACCAATTGCAAAGGGACCAATGATATTATTCCAATAAATACCAGACCACACGTTCAACTTTTCAGGATACTTTAGTTATATAAGTTTAGTTGCTTGTACTCATTTTTAATAGACCAGTACCGGACAATACCAGGATTGTGCTTTCCATGTAATGGAAATGTGGATTCCTCGGTAAATACTACGTTTTCAATGAAATATTCATCTTCATTTGCGCGTTACATCATAGGCCTGTCATAGCAAAACCGACAATCTCCACTTTTGGTCAAAAATTAGATTTTTGGCGGAGACTGTACTTCAACTAATTATCTATAAGATGATAATCCTGCCTAAAATCCCATTTTAAAAATGACATTTAGTGCAAAGTCGACAATCTCCACTGATAGATTTGCAGCAAAGTATACAATCTCCAATTACACCATTAGAAATTAGTAATTTGTGTCACCTGATATCCTAACATTTGATTTTATGACGTATTTTAGAGATTTAATTTTGTGTTTTTTACTGGTACATACTGTTAAGTTCTATTGCAGTAAATTGCACTTAAAAATATATTTAAAATAGGTATATAAACGTTTTATTGTTTTAAGAATTATAAAAAAAGTTATCTTGTTTATTTTGTGCTATTATACCATAATAAGACGTAAAGGTATAGCAAGAAAAGGCTGATAATGTCAAAACACTGCAAGTAAAACATTACGGGGCAAAGTGGGAAGAATATGATGAGTTGTTGTACTATAAAAACTTTTTTGCACGAGGCAACCTGGTCTCAGATTTAGAAGAAACCCCAGATTTATGTGGTCCAGTTCAAAATTTTCCCACATTGATTGTATAGTTAAATTTAATAACCATTAAAGGAAAAAAATACAATTATTTTTTTGTTTATTTTTCTAAATCTCCTTAAACGTTTACAACAAAATGAGCAATCTCCAGCAATTCATATCAAAGTCAGCAATCTACAATTTATAATTATAGATTTCACCTATACTATGCATCGTAGAGACCTTGTAGTTGTCTACTAGACTAACAACAACAATATTTCAATATAATATATAAAAAAATTACAAATCTAGAATTTAAAATACCAAAATCAATTATCTCAATTTACTCAGTTTTAGTCTGACGGGAGATTGTTGACTTTGCTCTGACAGGCCTCATATTTTCACAAAATTCCATTCTCCGGTACTCGTCGTCTTGAAAAATTTCCAGATGTACTTGGTATTTATAGGAACGATATTTATTTTTTTAAATATTTTGTGGACTTTACCCACACTAATGCCGGTCTCTTAGGAATTGATGTATTTGAATCTTCTTCTACCATTGCACAAACCATTATTTCTTTCATCTCCGCATCTACATCGATTCTGGGACTACTGTGACATTTACACCCCAAAATACAACCACTTGTTTTAAACCTTTGGATAACGTTTTAGACCAGTGCCTTTAAAAATGGTAAAAAGAGAAAAAAAATAACAGTAGGATGAAACCATTGGAAAAGGAGGGGAATATAATAAAAATTAAAGGAAAAATAAATTACGGGCGATCTGAGTTCGGGAAGTAGGAGGGGGGGGGTTTAAGGTTAAAACATGGTTTATCTCGATTTCCGGCAAAACTACAAGTCCTATGGAAAAAAGTTGAACGTCAAAGTTGTAGGTAATAAAAAGATCTACAACTTTTGTGATTACAATTTTTTTACATAACCTAAAACCAAGTTTTTGGTTTTTTATTTTTATCTTTTTCAAAATTTTTTTTCCACGAAATTTGGTGAAAACTTACCTTTTTATGTCCCAAATACACTGTAATTTATCATCTTATTTTGACTTAATATCAAAAAAGCACCCTAATTTTCAATCGGGAAGTGCGAAGTCAGATCGCCCGTAATTTATTTTTCCTTTCATTTTTATTATATTCTTCTCCTTTTCCAATGGGTTTCATCCTACTGTTATTTTTTTTGGTTTCAAAAATTATCGACCCTGGTCTATTTGTTATTGTTCCAATTGAAGGAATAGAACGTTCCGGATATTTAACTGCGAATAGGTCTCTTGTTTGACGAAGAGAATTGCCCACCAAAGACCAGCTTATCATGTCAATTTTCTATTGCAATTTATGTTCGCTATGTACGCTCGAAATACACACTAGCAAATGCAAAACAAAACCGAATCCTCGCCTACGCCGGCAATCTGCTTACAATGCAACTAGGGAAGGGCGATCGGATTCACTCAAGTGTTCAGGTTTCAAATGAAAATGCGGTACTGTTTCAATTTTTGTCAACATCGCTGATGTCGAGGCGGATAATAATAATAATAATAATAATAATGATAACAATTTATTCATCAGTAAAACAAAATTACAAAGTAAATTTTGCCTATATGACTAGTCACACAAAAATAAGTAAAAATAATGACACTTAATATTAAATACTATAACATATACAAGAATAAAATTTAATGATAAAATTAAAAAGAATCCTTAAAAAATTCTTTAACATGTTAACAGAATAGTACATTTTATTTAAAAAAAATAGTGTATAATTTTGTCTTTAAAATATTAATATTTTTACAAGATAAAATAACATTTGACACATGATTATGACATTTTATTCCCTGATAAGCAAAGGCTTGAGAGACTGACAATCTGGAATAAGGCAAATATAGGTTTTTATTACCTCTTGTACCATAACTATGCATATCCTTTGTTTGTATAAATAAACCTTTATTTTCTTCAATGTATATAATTAAATTGTAAATAAATAAACAGGGTAGTATTAAAAATTAATATTTTTTAAATAACGGTTTACACGAATATGATGGACTTTTACTATCTAGACATCTGATAAGTTTTTTTTGTAATAAAAATACTCTTTCAAAGTGAGCTGAAACACCCCAAAAAATAATACCATATGACAATATAGATTAAATTACGCCAAAATACATTAATCTCAATACAGGAAAGGAAACTGTGTCTCTAAGAGACCTTATTAAAAAACATAAGGAGCTTAATCTCTTACATAAAGAATTTATATGTGGTTCCCAATTCAATTTTGGGTCCAATGTTATCCCTAAGAATTTTACTGTATCGCAGGCTGAAATTGATGAACTATTAATATTTATGTATAGGCTAGAATCAAGCCTTGCATTTTTTGGAAAAAATTCCATAAAGTTTGTTTTATTAACTGATTTGACACCAAGGAAGAGTTTGTGGAAAGATTTTTCACTTCTTTATCCATAAGCAAAACATTTGTATCATCAGCATACAATACAAATTTTGCATGTTCATTAAATAAGACAGATATGTCATTAATAAACATAACAAAAAACAAAGGCCCCAGAATTGACCCCTGTGGAACCCCAAGTAAGACTTTTTCACACCTTGATTGTGCATTTTTTTTTAAAAACGATCTGAGTTCTGTCGGATAAATAAGAGGAGACCCACTTAAGCGGTGGACCCCGTACACCTATGGATTCAAGTTTTTTGAGCAAAAGTTTATGATTAACCATATCAAATGCTCGACTTATACAGGGTGTTATGTAATTAATGTTATATATTAAAATACTGAATACCTTTTGTCATAAGGAATAAAGAAAAAATATTTAAAAAAACATTTTTCCAAAGATAAATAAAAAATATGCATTAGAAGTTTTTTATATATTTTTTGATGCGCCACTGGTACACACTTGTTTATCTCTGCACACCTGTATTTTGTGAGTACATAGATACCAACCAACAAAGTAGCTATGCGTTGCCAGACGTAAAAAATTGTTACTAAAAATTTTTCTTGCAAAAAATAAATAAAAACTCAATAAATACAAAAGTTTTATGCCCTTAAAGCTCTAATACCCTTCTGTATTTATTTACTGATCCAGCTATTAGCTTAAGCAATGATTAGAAAATTTGGTACCTTTGAAATTTGAAATCCATAACCACAAAATTAATTTTTTCATCAGTTTTTTTTCCCTGTTTACTCAGATGAAATTGGGACCAGTTCACAGGTTAAACTTTAAACATTTAATTTGTGTAAATAAATCCAAAAGCACTTCCCTTAGTTAAGATATTTACAATTTGAAAACATAACCTAAAATTTAAAAGAAATGCACTAGATTCTGTCATAAAAGTTGGCAGATTTTGTTTGAATTTACCTTCAGTACAAAAATCAAATAACCAACAATTAATAGAAACGCCAAATTGACAATTTGCATTGTTAATTTTGTCATTTTTGTAATTAAGCTAAATTTAAACAATGCTTGGCAACTTTTTTGAAAGATTTTGGAAACAGTTGTTACCAACCATAACGTAATAAATCCACCAGATTAACCTAAAGTTCCTAGTCGATCAGTGGCGTACTGTTTGGTAGGATAAAGGTTATTATAAATTATTTTTAGACTTTGGAATTTACAAAAAAATGTTTCAGGTGCTTCTTTATGGACCCTAAGGAACAACCCATTTTAATATATAACATTAATTACATAACACCCTGTATAGATATAGATAGGTGGCAGGTTTGGCACATTTTGCCTCAATTGCGTCATTATTTGTTTGTTAGAAATAAAAATGAACTTTACTCACCGTTAAGAACATGCACGACAGTCGAAGCAGGGCTGGCATTTGAGGGCATGCAGGTGTAATTTCCGGTGTCGCCTAGCAGCGCCTTGGTCACCAGCAACTTGCTGGTGGTGCCAGCCTCGGTTTTCTCCGTTTCCAAGCTGATGCCGCCGCGCGGCGAGTCGAAATCCACGACGGCGTGTCCATGGTACCAAAGCACGCTAGACGGCGGGTTCGAGTGCACGTTCACTGTGCAGGTGAGCGATATAGTGCTGCCCTTTTTGACGTACACTTCCGGCGGGCCGGATATCGACGCCTGCGCGTCTGAAATCGAAAAATAGAGGAGGTTAAAATGGCAAAAAGGCTAGGGCACGATATTCGTCGCCATGAGAAAATTTGTACAAAAATTCAAGGTTATAGTAGAGTCTACTTAAAAACATTTATATCCACGTTCTTAGTAAAATGACATTTTATATGTTAATTTTGTTGTTTTTGTATCCAAGTACTATGCTCCACACCTCAAAGTCCCACCACGTGAAAATTTGGCATTTAAGGTTTTTCAGGGTATGTATCTGTCAAAGTATAGTCAACGAAAGAAATAATATTTATATGCTCAACGCTTATTTTTAGGGTGGTTCAAGAATTTAGGGATATAAATACTGCATTTAATGAAATAAAAAAAGTATAGTAATTGAACATTTTATATATTAATTGGAAACCTGGACCATAGTTATTGGACATACAATTTTTATATAAACATAACAACTTTGCATTAAATAACATAAATTGTTAAATATTTTTTAAAGATAAATTGCTGTTTAGGTAGTTTTATTTCGTAAATATCATATAATTCATATATTTCTTCCTCAGATTCCTCATCCCTTTTCTGGATTCTAAAGGTAACTACTAATTACTTGGTCTGACTTCTGAAATAGTTTGCTGCAAATATCATTAAGTGTGGTATCTCCAGTTTGTGAAGCATTTATAATGTTTAGGCCGGAACAGGATGATTTATACATATCCAATAGTTTTCGGGTGGTATTTTCAGAATTTATTAATTTTGTTTCCATTAGTTTTTTATGTTCTCTATCATGAACTGTATTTAAATCACTGTTATTCTGCAAGATGTCCTGTGACGAAGAAATCACTATATTACTTACTCTAAAAATTAATTAGTCAAAAATTTCATACCGAAAAAGCAGCCACTAATAATTCTCGTCAACAGCAATTTGTATCCAGGATATTTAGCAGTCAATTCCTATGAAATATTATTCGCTGAATCCGAAAATGTTGTCAAGTTATAAAAGTTTTTGAAATATAATCAAATTTACATATAATATGGAATTGACTATATCTCAAAAACTGCTTAACTATTATAGTTTTTGACGGTCTTTTCGGATTCATTGGACAATTTTACATAAGAATTGGCTGTTAAATGTCTGGCATACAAGTAGAGTATGACATTGGACACATGTCCAATAATATAAATTTACATTTTTTACCAACCAGTAATTGGACACTGTAACAAGCGAACTTTTGTGTATTGGACCCAAAATAAATTATTTCTATATTATAACCGACTAAGATATTTATAATTGTGAACAGCGTCATCTAATGATTTGACTTTAAGGTAACTATTTATGGATTTCTTGTTTTTACAGTATTAATGTTAATTGTCCAATAACTATCTCTAACTGTCTCTATCAAAGATAGGTTAATATATTATAACAAAAATATCTTGTAAATTTAAGGTTAGAAAAATCTATTTTTAACCAAAATAAATAGGTATTTTGGGTCATTTGGAAGAGTGTTAATATGGTTATATAAATATAGGTATACTATATAATTGTTGAATATGATTCAAATTTAATTAAAGCTTTTATACTTCTAACGAGAAAACTTGTGCATACCTCTCTGCATACCTACTTTAAGTTAGATTATAAGAAAACAAACAATTTATAGAGAAACTTGCAATGTGAAAATATTTAATACTCCCATGACATGTGATTTATTAAATTTTTTAAAGCTATAATGATTTTTCGTTGTAGATCAAATTTAGTTGAAGCTTTAAGCTGGATTAGAAAAAATACCACATTTTTTAAGAAGTAATACCATATTAACACTATTTATTTTGGTCAAAATAGATTTTTCTAACTTTAAAATTACAAAATTGGATGATATTTTTTGTTATAGTATATTAATATTTTTTTATAGAAAAATCACCTGAAAACCCTTAAATACCAAATTTTCAAAATACTGCGTTCCGTACGTGGTCACGTGGTGGGACTTTGGGGTGTGGAGCATAGTACATGTATACATTATTGCAACAGACCTGTAATATTTTACGGGCTTGCATAAAATACCTGTACAGGTTTCAGGCCTGTAAAAAAAGCAATTTATGAAATAAAATGTCACATTTTTGAAATTTGAAAATCGTTATCCAAAGGTAAAAGGTAAAAAAAAAAGTTTTAGAAACATTGACTCTGGGGTTTCTGAGTAAAAATGTTGCTTTTATTATTGCAAAACTGTGTTGTAAATGTTAACAAAAATGTATATGCCACATCTACAGGTACGAGCCCTAACAACTATATGTTGGAACAAGTATTTATTTTGCAAATAAAATGCTAGTTTATTAAATCAATTTGATTTTAATTTTTTTTAATTGAATAATTAGAATTGGCAACATTTTATATGTCATTTTATAATATTTTTGCGGTAAAATTCCTAATTTTTTTTTGTTAAAATTTATTTAACTGTTTCTTGTTCAAAAATCGCTGGCAACTAATTGTTGGAACACATATTCTCTCTTCTCTATAGTTTCTTCACTTTTATCTCAATGGCTTTGAAACAAAATATGGTTGCTATGACCACGAAGCTTTTATCAATTCAACAATTTAAATACTGTCAATTTCAATTTTTGCTCAATTAAATAGCAATAATGACACGCGGGAAGCCTACCGATCGAAAAGTACGCGAAATTATTATCAGTCAGTACCATAAAGGCAAAACAATGCGTGAAATTTCTACTGAATTTGCGATAGCAACGACTACTGTGTTTAATATCCTTAAAAAATATGGTGAAACCGGGAATATTAATATTCGTGGTAAAAGTTCAGGTCGTCCCAAAATTGTTTCTCAAAGAAGCGCAAGGCATTTGATTCAAATTTGCAAGTCAGGAAGAAGAAACACGCTGCGGGAAGTGACTGCAAGGTGGAATAGAGAGTCTGGAATGAACGTTTCCCGAGAATGCTGCCGTAAATATATCCACCAAGGTGGTCTCAGCTTTTATAAAGTATAGTTAATATTTATTTATCGTGCAAATTTTATTTATATAAATTTACAGGCTAAAGAAAAACCATTATTGACGGAAGTTCAAAAAAAAATCGCTTCAATTGGGCTAAATCTAAGCTGTCGTGGTCTAAAAATGACTGGAGTAAAGTCATTTACAGTGACGAAAGTAAATTTGATGTTTGTGTGGGAGACTACCGAAAACGCATCATTCGAGACAAGACAGAAGCCTTCCATAAGGATTGTCTCAAAAGAACAGTCAAGTTTCCACAAGGCATTATGGTGTGGGGATGTATGTCGGCGAAAGGATTGGGCACATTGCACTTTATTGAAGGGACTGTTAACGCAGTTAAATATCAGGACATTCTAACCAGCTCGTTTTTACCAAGTGCTGCAAACTTATATCCCAATGGGGATTTTATATTTCAGCAAGACGGTGCCTCATGCCATACTGCAAAATCTACAAAAAAATGGTTTGGGGAAAATAATATTAAGGTTTTGTCACATCCTTCCAGCAGCCCGGATCTTAATCCGATAGAGACACTGTGGCACAAGATGAAGCAACATCTGAGAAATAGTCCTCAATGAACCATACCACAATTGCGTACCAAATTACAAAAAATTTGGGATAATTTTACACCTGAACTCTGTGCAAGCCTTGTGAATACGATGCCTGATAGAGTTCAGGCAGTTATTCGGGCAAAAGGCGACGTTACGCCTTATTAATATCTGATTTTGTTTACTTTAAAACGTTTTGTTCCAACATTAAGTTGTCAGCATTTATTGAACATGAATCACTTAAATAAATTTCCATCATACAATAATGAGAATTTTCCCCCACAGCTGTTATAAAATGACATCTAAAATGTTGCTAATTCCAATTCTACAATATAAAAACATTAAAATCAAATTGATTCTGTAAACTAGCGTTTTATTTGTAAACTAGTTGTTTGTTCCAACATATAGTTGTTAGGGCTCGTATAAGTGTAAACGTGAAAAAAATCGATTTCTTATTTATTAAAATTTAATTCATCTCCTATACAGCCCATGTTTTTAATTAATAATACTTATAACCTGTTTAAAACCAAAATTTTCAATCTGTCATTCTCGTCTAGAAGATTCTACTATATTAAGTTTAATTTATTTCATGACTACCATAATTTCGTTTTTAAAGTAAATTATTAAAAAAAACGTAATTATATTAGGTTATTTTTTTATTAAAAAAAATAATTTGACAATACTTCAACCTATGGTTTTCTTTTCTTTGTTGTCTGCTCTTCTCTTTAGACTTTCGTTGTTGAAACTGCATATTTTTTGTTTTTTTTTTTTAAATATTTGTTTCTTTGTAGTACACTGCATATATAACTGTTGCTGCCACTGTCAAAAGCTAAAAGCGTACCATTGAAACCAACTATCAACAACTCGCAATGTTTTTGCGTTTAAATTGTACATATTTAGTTACTTTTGTATTAAAATATTAATAATTTTAAAATCAGTTGAAAAACTGTCTGTTTTTAAGAGATATTTGGAACATTTTGGACAACTTTTATACAATTTTATGATAAGATATACTTAAATATTGTTTTAACATTCTAAACTAAGCTTGTGTTTGACATTCTCAAAATTTTCTTATCATTTTAAAGTGGGGTGGAAATTCTTAAAAAAGATTTTGACATTCTCCACCAAGTTTTCCATTGCTATGGCTGTATTAGTATATTTTTACTGCCTAGCCATTTGTGTTTTACAAGGCTAGCCGTAAAACACCTACTTTCTCCTCCCTATGAAGACGGTAAAATTAAACTTTATTATAGTGTAGAAATTGTATTAAACTATGCACTAAAAAGATTAATATTGTAATTTTATTGTATGCATCTTGTTTTACAATATGCCTTTACTTTATTGCTTTATAATTTAGTAGTATAACACATGTATACGTTTTCAATAATAAACTTGCAGAACACAAGAACAGATATAAATGCAGATGCGATTATATGAAAACGCTCACTGCTCCAGGATAATGTAGGAACTTGGTTAAA